CGGGAAAATGACCAGCACCACCCTAACCCCAACCCGGGAAAATGACCAGCACCACCCTAACCCCAACCCGGGAAAATGACCAGCACCACCCTAACCCCAACCCGGGAAAATGACCAGCACCACCCTAACCCCAACCCGGGAAAATGACCAGCACCACCCTAACCCCAACCCGGGAAAATGACCAGCACCACCCTAACCCGGGAAAATGACCAGCACCACCCTAACCCGGGCAAATGACCAGCACCACCCTAACCCCAACCAAAACACCATGGCTTTATGAGTTCTTGTGATAATAACTAAGTCTCAGAGGTGGACTTTGTGGTAAACCTCCTCTATGCAAAAATATATATCATTTAAATTACATTAAAGGTTTATCGGAGGATTATCTCAAGTTCCACTTTTTGAACAAAACTCTCTACTCTGATTGGACGAGCACATATCACCAGAATGATTGACAACTGGGAGGGCCAATAGTCTTGATGATTCACACGGAAGTAGAACATCCTCCTTTGTGCCTCCAAGTTAATTATCTGTAGCTTAATAACGGCTTAATAACGGCTTTTGTCCATAAATGTCCAGTCTCAGAGGTCGGTTCTACAAAAGTCTGAGCAAAGATGTTTATCACTCAAATAACAAGTTTGTGATCATTATTTTCCAACTTTAAAACAGTAGTAATAATAGTATGTTTATTTATTCATACACATTTGACATGAAAAGCATAAAAACCAAAACAATTGAACTTCTGTCAGTGAATGCACAAACTTTGACAAAAGGCATCTGTGACTGAAAGGATGAGGCTGAAGAATAACTTATTTCTGACTAATCCAATTCATAAAGTACAGTCTCAAGTTTGGGGCAAAACCCGATCAAAATTGTAACAAGTCTAAAGTTCAAGATAAAATAAACAATAGGACGAAAAATGGTCAAAAACACAAAGTCATTTAAAGTACGGCTGCACGAAATATCGGAAAAATATCGTTATCGCGATATTGGTGCGTATGATGTCCATATAGAAAATATGCGTGATTTTTATTTTATTTTAATTAATTTTATTTTTTCCCATTTATTAAAGACAAAACAAACAAAAAAGTGTATAAATAAATGCATTTGAATGTTTTTGTTTCTTGCGTTTCGAAGCAGATGTAATTTTAGGTGAAAGATACTAACCGCTCATATGGAATATCACTCTCATTTCCAACATCGTGCAGCTCTAATTTAAATCTTTCATTTCCTGTTGGTAACGATTCAATATTGACACAACCGGAAAAGCTTTGTCCATAATCAACGCTGAAAGAAGTTGTTTTAGAATTGATTTTTCTCATAATCAAGTAAAACAAAGACTTTTGTAAAACAGGAGTCGTCGGCGCAGTCGTGATGTCGTGGTTGTGTCTGAAAAAGCAGAACTGAAAATATCCGGCTTTAGCCAAAGTCGTTTGTTCATTTCTGTGTCTGAAGCTTGTTTTAATCAGTTCTCTTTGCTGTAATAACCTGATTTCCTGTGAATTTAAAATGATCAAAAACAGGGAACAGTCTGTTTTTCTGCTGCATTGGTTGATCTGTTTCTGCGCTGAGCCGTCCTTGCTTTACTTCTACGCCTGTAAATTATATATGTTTAAATGTAACATGGATGTAAAAGGTAACTGATGAATAATAGAGAAGTACTTCGCTGATATCAGAACAATGTGTAGAACATGCCTTTGACATCCTGCAATGATAGAACCATGCTGTTTGTATATGATTCACTTTTGACAATAATAAATCTATTTTCTCACATATTTACCAACGCATTGGTTTGTTACTATTTAAAAATGTTGGAAATGTAGATATTACTTTAACTGACTGAGCCCCAAAGGTTTGTCCCACATGAGTTCCACAGAATAAAGTCAATATGTACAGATTTATTTTAAACATAATCTATGGAGTAATCATAACAGGACGAGTACACTACTGAATGAACGATTTTGTTTTCCACAAAAGCTGGGGAAAACTGCATTTTCGAAGCACCGCCAGCAGAGGGCGTAAATGCCACAGTTTTTAAAAAGGAACCGCACAAACTTACAGCTAGGGACCGTCTCTCAATGTTCATGTCCGTACACATGGGTGTTTTTATTTATTTAGAAGTAGAGTTCAAGTTAAAATTAAACAATTAAAACATGATATTTATTTTTGGACCCGTGTTGTTGTGTCAAATACCATAATTAACTGTAACTGTTGCTTAGTAACTAAAGATTGATGACCACAAATATGTCTTTTTTCAAGGACAATCACTGAGTTTACTGTACTGTACTATAATGACACATTATATCTTTTGAAATCCAAGAAATAATAACATTAATATTTAGTAATTTCCTGGTGCTTTTTATGGTAAGTAAAAGCGTTTTTTTTTCTTTCAATTTTACTTTATGTGATGATTATGTCATAGTTACTTTTCTGACAGATATCAGTGTGTGCTCGTGACGATTATATCAACAATACTCACTTGAACAAAACCCAGTGTCACATTCTCACGTTTCCAACAGCAAACTGCAGATGTCCTTGGAACACTCTCGTTTTTCGTTTTAACGCAGGTCGGTCACATGCGGACGGTCCCTGGCGCCGTGCTGTGGAGAGGGCTGAGTCCGGAGAACACACTCGTGCTCCCCGCCTGGAACACCACCTCCTCCGGTCTCTCTCCAGCACCTTCCCCTCTCTCCTCTCTCGGATATTCCCACATTTTTCGCATATCCCACTGGATACAGCTTCACTTCACACCAGGGGCTCGGTAAGGCACGGTTTTTCTGACGTTTCGGACGCAGGTTTGCAGACGCACAGACGCAGAGACGCAGAGACGCAGACGCGGGGACTGGGACACTGCGGCTCTAACTGCGTGGTGTTGTCATGTGGGTCTGAGGCTGGAAAACGACAAAGATTACGGTTCTAAGCCTGAAAACAAAGTCTAGAGGGTCTTCTGATGTGATTACTGAGGCTATGAAGCTGCTAGCTGCGTTTGAGGTGAAGGAACAACACTGGGAAGCTAATGTCACTGCTAGCTTGTTAGGCACTGTAATTAAAGGTACCCCAAGACCTCAACGTTATTACTCATTAGCTACTGCTACACTACACCAGCCTGGTCTTTCCTACCACTGAAATGCTCTTTTAACTTAACATAAACCTGCACAACACTTTGAAGAATCTTTGTGATCCATCCTGAATGTGTTGGTCAAGGTTTGAGATTTAATATTCACAATTATTTACCATTTGCAGTAAAACCACATTGGAAAAACTATACAAGACTGTACCCCCGGCGTGCACCAGACCGCACCAGAGCTCTTGTCGTATGAATCGTGCCGTGGGCTTTCCTGGCGATTGCTTTGTTAATAACACGAGACAAATGGGATGTAGGCTCTTTGATACAGTGTGCCATAATTAAAAATGAAAGTAAAGTCTTAATTGATGCCTGGATAACTACGATTAGCCGCCTGCCCCGTTCAATTAGCACCCAAATCTATTCAAGTCGTCTCTATGGGGTGGACTGAAATGGGTTTCCTCAATCGTGTGTTTGAGCCAAAGTCCTTGTCACGTCATTCCTCATGTATGTTCTTACTCCAGAACAATGACCGTCTTGAGTGTGTGGCTGTGTACGGCTGTATACGGCTGTGTGTGACTGTAGGTTGAGCTCATGGTGAATGTAGAGGCTGCGATACGTCCAGAGGTGATGCACTGACGCCCTCTCCCCGGTATAAAGACCCCTTTGAGCAGGTTTTTCCTTTCCTGGAGCTCCCGGATTATACATCGTGGGTTAGAGGAGATTTGCTGGCATGACATCGCAGGGAGCAAAGGCAGCGGCTGTGTGCGGCTGTGTGGCTGTGTACGGCTGTGTGTGGCTGTGTGCGGCTGTGTGTGGCTGTGTACGGCTGTGTGTGGCTGTGTGTGGCTGTGTACGGCTGTGTGTGGCTGTGTGTGGCTGTGTGCGGCTGTGTGTGGCTGTGTACGGCTGTGTGTGGCTGTGTGTGGCTGTGTACGGCTGTGTGTGGCTGTGTGTGGCTGTGTACGGCTGTGTGTGGCTGTGTACGGCTGTGTGTGGCTGTGTGCGGCTGTGTGCGGCTGTGTGCGGCTGTGTGTGGCTGTGTGGCTGTGTACGGCTGTGTGTGGCTGTGTGCGGCTGTGTGTGGCTGTGTACGGCTGTGTGTGGCTGTGTGTGGCTGTGTACGGCTGTGTGTGGCTGTGTGTGGCTGTGTGCGGCTGTGTGTGGCTGTGTACGGCTGTGTGTGGCTGTGTGTGGCTGTGTACGGCTGTGTGTGGCTGTGTGTGGCTGTGTACGGCTGTGTGTGGCTGTGTACGGCTGTGTGTGGCTGTGTGCGGCTGTGTGCGGCTGTGTGCGGCTGTGTGTGGCTGTGTGGCTGTGTACGGCTGTGTGTGGCTGTGTACGGCTGTGTGTGTGGCTGTGTGTGGCTGTGTACGGCTGTGTGTGGCTGTGTGCGGCTGTGTGCGGCTGTGTGTGGCTGTGTGGCTGTGTACGGCTGTGTGTGGCTGTGTACGGCTGTGTGTGGCTGTGTGTGGCTGTGTACGGCTGTGTGTGGCTGTGTGCGGCTG